TTTGAATGTGATAAAATCACAGTATGGCCAATTTATAGTAAATCAATATATTTATACTTAATGAAGTGGAGAGGAACAGCTAATGCAAATTGATAGGATGATTCCAAATCATTTTTGTCCAAATCATGTTTGTCATGGGAATGCCATATATATAGATGACCTCATTCATATCTAATTCAGCTCAGCTGTCTGTGACTAGGGACCTAACCTAAAGCCCACTCTGAAGATAGCAATTCTGGATTACTCTATCTAATCATTAAAATGGAGGTTCATAATCTGGGGTCCACAGACCTCTCCCAGTCCATGGATAGATTCTGGGGGTCCATTAACTTGAATGGGAAAAAGTTACATTTTTATTTGCCCTAATTGTTTAAAAGTGTTTTACTGTGAAAGGATGCATAGGATTCTCCAGGCTGCCAAAAGAGTGCAATGACACAAAAAAGGTTAAAAACCCTGTGTATTGGGTATTCACAGAATTGAATATATACCCCCCCCTTTTTTTAAAGGCAATTGGGGTTAAGTGACTTGCCCAGGGTCATACAACTTAGTAAGTGTCTGAGGCCAAATTTGAACTCAGGTCCTTCTGACTCCAGGGCTGATGCTCCATCCTCTGCGTCACCTAGCTGCCCCGAATATATACTCTTCTATGATGGATGACTGTGAAAATATTGAATTGGCTAGAATAATATTTTTTTAAAAGTTCTAAGTTTGACTTTTAAATGATAAATTACACCAAAAACCTACCACAGTTATCTACAGCAGTGAAAATTAAAAGATAATAAGAAATAACTTATCATAGAAATTATGTACTTAAATTTTAATATCAAATTGTTAATAGTTTTGTAATATAACACTAAAAAATTAATTCTCACCTCTTTCAAAGAGCTTTTCATTTCCAACTATATGACTGATTATTTCTGGAGTTAATTTTTGGGACTTCCTAACTTCTGAGGATGTTTGTATATCTGTTCTTTCTTGGAGGCTGGCAGGTTTCAATAATTCATATTTAATTGGCAAAATGAATTGCTGAAAAATTATAACGGGAATTCTTAGAGATAACTATTTAATTTCTGAGTTTAAATATTTACTATAAATATACTTAAATATTGTTCAACATTTTAGAATTAAAAAAAAACCCAATAGTATTTGTAAAAATGAACACTCCCTCCAAGGTATGCATATATGGGGTTAGGCAGGACTAAAAATACTTTGAGAGACATACTTTATGTCACACAGCTAACCTTTAGCCTATTCTTTTGAAGCCTTCTCTAGCTTCAGTCCATATCACCAGGGTCAGTTCACTTGAGCAGCTGAGGATTGGGGGAGGAAGGAGGGCTTTTGAAATGGAGTTGATACATCTGAGAAACTGAGATCTGATTTCTACTCTATGGAATGAGTCCTATTCCCAATCCTAGGAGGCCAGCCCCCTCAGAAGACTCAAAACAGCATGTACATATAACTTGAAGATGCTGGAAAAGGCACTATATAAATGAATGAATTTTTTAATGCTGAAAATTTTCAGCTATATGTATACAATTAAGTCTTAAGTTCATTCTCAGTATGTTGAAATTGAACAAGCCAAAAATGAGCTCCATAAGGAAAAAAATCCCCGAGATCAAATGGGTTTATGAGTGAATTCTACCAAACATTTAAGTAACAATTAATTCCAATACTACATGAACCATTTGAAAAAATAGGCAAAGAAAGAATCCTACCAAATTACTCTTGACACAAACATGTTTTTGCTACCTAAATCTGGGAGAGCAAAAACAGAAAAGAAAACTAAAGGCCAATTGCCCTCACAAATATTCATGCAAAAATTTTAAATTAAATACTAGCAAGGAGATTCGGACAGTTAGGTGGTGCAGTGGATAGAGTGTTGGACTTGAAATTAGGAGGACCTGAGTTCAAATCTGGCCCCAGACACTTAACAGCTGTGTGACCTTGGGCAAGTGACTTAACCCTGTTTGCCTCAGTTCCTCATCTGTAAAATGAACTGAAGAAGGAAATGGCAAACCATTCTAGTATCTTTGCCAAGAAAACCCCAAATGGGTTCACAGAGAGTTGGACATGACTGAAAACAACTCAACAACAACAGTGGCAGCAAGGAGATTACACCAATATATCACAAAGATAATACACTACGACCAGGTAGGATTTATACCAGGAATGCAGGGCTGGTTCAGTGTTAGGAAAACTACAAGGGTAATTGCCATATCAATAACAAAAACAACAAAATCATTTTATTAATAGGTGCAGAAAAAGCTTTTGATAAAATATAACACCTATTTCTATTACAAACACTAGAAAGCATGGGAATAAGTGGAACCTTTCTTAAAATGATAATCTATCAAAAACGTATTTGAGAAAAAATCACTATGCTGAAAACATGAGTTGGAAACATAAATAGATTTTCACCTTTTAAAGTACTTTTGGTTTTGAATTGACTCTAGTTTTTAAAAAATAATTAAAATGCAATCAAACAACTTGCTCCTTTAGCTCCTAGTATTCTTCTGCAAACCAATTTTAAGAGAAAACTTATTTTGTGTTTTCTTGAACTATAAGCAGCAAATGAGAGACTGCTTTGTAAAAGATCAACCTTTAATGTGGTAAAGAGTCTTTCTTCTCCTTGTCCCTCAAGGAGATGAGCCACTAGCAGTCCTAAGATTCTTTGGGAAACCACTGTTCACATGGCTTCCATTACATGAATAAATCTCTAATCTTCACTTCCTGTCCTTATATTATAACCTCCAATTTTCTCCATGGTATTTCCACTAGACAATAAGAACCGACTCTTATAGAGCATTTTAAGAAGTGTAAAGTAGTTTACACACAATATTTTCTCTTGACAGGTGTGAAAGGTAATTTTTTTTTTAATCAGTCTTGGGATTTTACTAGTATAGAGAGTTCCCAGTATTGGAACTCCTTCTACCAACATAGAGCAGTGCAATATGTCTTAGTTTCCAGGGGCATTGAGAGGTTAAGTTACCTGTTTAGGGTCACACAGCACATCTGTGTCAGACAGAACATCAGGGCCTTGTTGGTTCTGAGGCTGGCTTTCTAGCCACTATACCATGCTGCCTCTTGTGAGGGAGCCGCTGAAGGGAGTGTTATCTTGATTTTGCAAATGAGGAAACTAGGGCCTTAGAATTTTAAGGGACTTGTGAAAAGTCACACACCCAGTAAAAAGTGTAGATGAATTCTTGAATCTAGTTCTAGGGCTTTCTCCACTTATGCCATGCTGCGTCTTACTTAAAACCTAAAGCACATGAAACTGGTCAAGATTAGGGGGGCTACTGAATCCTCAGAATTATTCCTTCATAGTTTCTCCATCATTATCAATGGCATAACTTTCCCACATTCAATCCATTGCCAAATATTTTTTAGTTTTACAATTATATATTGCATTCTACAGACTACTAAAGTTCATAGAAATTTGTTCTACCTTTTATAAGAACATTATTAAATAAGAGTTATTAAAACATGATTAACACCAAACTTTAAAAAAAACAACTACTTTTTCATCTTTGAACAGCTCCTTAATCATACATAATTCTTCTTTCTCAAAGACTTCCAAATTGCTTTGAAATGGGGAATATTCCCTGAAAAGAAAAAGTAAAAATTTTGATCCCTCAAATAACATTTTAAATGGAAATATTAAGTCAATTCTTTGTTTTGATTACTGATTATTACCCTGAGTTGCTGTTTTATTTTTATATGTATATATGTGCATATGCACACACACATATACATATACACACATACATGTGAGGAATTCTCATGTCTCCCAACTAGTCCTATAGGGGCCATGATAGGAAAGCTTTACTTGTCTGCAAATTTGCTTATGTAGAACATCATATTACTTGACAATATATAGTTGCTATATAGCCTGAGGAAATCCAAGTCTTTTAAAGGGCCATGTCTAAATTGTCTTCTCTCAAATAGGACTCTCATAATATCAGATCTCCCAATATTTATGCATATTTCTTACATTTAAGCAAAATAGGAGGAAATAGAGTAAAAATGAGTTTTGGACAATAATTTTCATCTTATCCATATGTAGACTTTCTATTGACTTCAAAGAGCTGCCTAAATTCTAAGAAGAGGTTTTTTTTAAACATTTTGAGGAGAGAACAAAATACTAAGCACTATTGTGTTTAGTGAGGATTCTAAATTTTTTGTGCTTATTTTTTAATTCCTGGAGGGATATCCTGTGGTTACTCTGATGTGGTTGGAAGTATTTCTTTACCTGAAGTCTCCCCAGAATGCCACTTAGTCAAAACTTTTTATAGAAAATCTATTCTCTAACAATATTATGGTGATACAGATACTGAGCTGAAAAGATTTGCTTTAGATGACTCATAAAAAGCTGTGACTTGGGTACTAAAATTTTTCTCATAATGAGTATTTTGATTCTCAAAATATAAATATAAACTATTATTAAGGAATTGTTTTCAGTCACACAAAAGCATCAATATCTGTAATGAAATAATCATTTCACATTATGCAGAATTTAAAATTAAATATGGCATTATTTTTTTTTACCAAATGAACTACAAATTTACAATGGGATAAACTGCCTAGAGAGCCTACACATTTTACACATTATGAATATTTTTGAATGAGTCTAAGGTCCTTTGAGGATTGCTCTAGTATTGTCATGTCCTCTGTATGAGATTTATTTGTAGCCTTCTAGGAGTTATAAGCATGGTAATGTCAACTACCTTAAACCCAAGTGTGGTATCTGGGTTTATCCAGGAACTATTTCAACTAAAATTAAATGGAAAATAGAGGTATCTTTCTTTCACTTCAATTTTAGTTGAATCTCTGGAATGATTTTGTACACTGGAAAGGCTGTGGAGACACTGAATTGCAGTCAAACAAAACCCATATTAATTAAATTTGATTTAATGGCAAACAGATGTTGAAACTGAGAACATGGAAAGAACATTTCCCCCTCTTAAATATATTCACAATACCAGTAACCAGTGATTAAGTACCTGAAATGACCAGCTTCTATGAAGATCTGTTGTTCTTTGAAATCTAAACAAGGATCTTTTAATAAAAACACTTTTAGTCTACTCAAAAGAGTATACAAAGTAGGTAGCTGCTTTTTATACTCCACCAAATTACTTACAAAAATTATTTCATCATCAATATATAAATCTGGAAAGAAGTAAGAAGCAAAATAAGCAATCAGAAAGGAATAAAAAGTAGCTGCTATAAACATTAATACAAGCATATTTTAAAATATTTAAAATTTTTTGTACTTCAAGGTACTATAAAGTATCTCTCTCACTCTCTTAAATTCTTTAAAATACAATTATTCCCATAGAGTCCTAGGTAATATTATGAAATGAACTTTGTTTTCCAGCCTGCTTTCTATACTCTAATATTCTTTCAGGGGTTTCTATCTTCCCGAATCTTTACTCAGGTCCCTTTGTTTTCAGTTCTCTCAGACTTCTTCCCTTATGAAAAACTTCTAGCATGAAAGGATGGAACCACCTCATCATACTAATGACTGAAAAACACTAACATATTACCATTTCCAGGAACATCTGCATTTCAACAGGGGACCAGAAGATGCAGCAAAGGAATAAATCTATAGTTGCATTATTTTGGGCATAAGCAAGCAAATAAGGTAGTATTTGGGAACAGGCAGAGAGCATTTTTGCCCATCTGAAATCCCACAGCACAGATGGCTTATTTCTCTGTATATCATCAATATCATTATTGCTACCACTTATATATCATAAAATGCTTTACATATATTATTTCATTTGATCCTCATAAGACTAGCCCTGATTATAGTTCCTCATTATAGTTTGCTTCAGCAAAGCTTCTATCAAACTGAGAATCATGGAAATTAAGTATGCTAAGTTAATAGCCAATTTAAAAAGACTATTTGTTTAATAAAGTATTCCTAAACATTATAAAAGGCCTCCGCTAACATTTAGCAGACAGAACATGGGGAGGGGTGGGGAGAGTACATTAATTTGCTCCTCTTTTGTGTCAGTCTCAGCTGCTTCCGCTTCTACATATTATCTCTAGAAAGATAATACAAATGTTAAGAGAAGAATGATTGTTATGGAAATTATGGAGAAATATAGGTACATCCACTTACTAAACAGATAAATTAGAAGTTATTGTTTGTATTACAAAAAGGTTATTCAATATACAAAAGGAGTCTGCTAGATTCCTTTAAAAATTGTATCTGCTAATACAGTATGTATCTGCAGAGAAATCCAAAGCTTAAGTGGTAAGTCAACACCAATTTAAGATCAATCATAAATGAGGCAAAATCAGCTCTGATGTTAAAAATAAAGTTAAAGGGAAAATATCTCTGGCTTACAAAAAGTCTACAAGTCAAGCTATAACTGACATAGTACAATGAGTGCAAGACTTGGTATCAGGATGACTTAGGTTCAGATTCTGTCTCTGACTTAATAGCTATAAGAAAACACATAGTCTCTCTGAGTCTCAATTTCTTATCTGTAAAATGGGGATGTGTAACTTACAGGATTGTTGCAAGGCTCAAATGACATAATGGACACAAAGTACTTTATATTCTTTAAAGCTTCTATGAATCCAAATTCAATAATTACTAAACACTTATCATGTACCAGGCTTTATATTAGGCCCTGGGGATATAAAAATAGAAAAAAAACAAAAACAAAAACAAAATACAGGTCCTGCCCACAAAGAGCTTAAATTACATTCATTCTCATTTCCTAATAATATTAATATTATGTGACGTATACAAATAAATGTTACATAAAAGATGGTCCTTGTTAATAAAACAAATTGTTGCCATGTAAATTAGGGTCTTCTTGTGAATGTTATTTTTATATCAAGATAAAAATTGAAAATTAAAGTATACCACCATGATAAATACCTAGATAATTGAAAATATCTTGAAAATTGAATAATTTTTTCTACTTCAAAGATTTCTAGCATTATTACATGGTTAGGTAGTTTGGTGTAGGGGATAGTGCATTGCTCTTGAAGTCACAAAGGTCTGGTTCAAGACTTACCTCTGATACATATTACTTAGGTGACCACTAGCAGGTAACTTGACCTCTCAATGTTCTAGGCAACTGTCTAATACTCTAAGTTACAGAAAAGTTTCCCATCCCATTGATGGGGGGTATTTTTACACTAGAAGATTCTTTTATTGATGAAATCACAGATCTACACAAATATACAACCCAGATAGCTCATGGACTCAGTATAATACAGTAAACAAATAATTTTCTGATTTTATCATCTTCCCATTTTGCTTTATTTATACAAATACGAATCTGTGGTATAATAGAACCCTGGAGTTAGAGTCAGAAGATCTGTTTTTAAGTTCCTGTTCTACCACTGATTCTGCCACTAAGAGATGGGGTAACTTTGGGCAAGCCATTTAATCTCTGGGGGACATGACTTACACTAGGAAATCCAGCATAATGGACTTAAGGCTACCCTTGGAGTCAAGAAGAGCTTCCTTTGACACATACTGGGTTTGTGACATGGACATGGGACCAGGCGCTGCAGACAGTTCTCTAGGACCCTTAAGTGGCAGAACAATTACAGATCGATAGAGCTATGTTGGAAGAAATTTCCTCACTTGCAGATGCCAATGCAGATGAAATCACAGGTCAGGACTAAAAATAAAAGGACAATAACAACTAGCAAGAAGAGCCCTGGAGAAGGGAAAATTGCCTCAAATCTGATGGGCTAAGTAGCAGAGGTAGTATGTAAACCCATCTCCTTCTGACTCCAAAACCAGCATGCTTTCCATTGCACCTGGCAAAGATATTATAATTGCAGTAAAACTTAAAATTCAGCCAAATGACCTTGATAATATAGTTTATAGTCATAAATTGCTATACAAATTAAGTTATGATTAGTTGGTGGTGATGTCCATTTAAAGCTATATTCTCAAAGTCTTTTAAGACAGTGATTCATTAGCTTACATATTTCTTGGATGTTCAGAAATGTTTGACTTCTTTTTCTTGTTTGGAGTATAAAGGAGCATTCTGTAATATTACATATTTAGGGGGGCAGCTAGGTGGCACAGTGAATAGAGTTCTGGCCTTGGAGTCAGGAGGACCTGAGTTCAAATTCAGCCTCAGACACTGAACACTTACTAGCTGTGTGACCCTGGGCAAGTCACTTAACCCTGATCGCCTCACCAAAAAGCAAAAAAAAAAAAATTACATATTTAATCTAACATTTAAAACTTTCTTCTTAAGTGATACTAAAAACAGTTTGAAGGACTTGTTGATTAAAACAAGCATCTATGTGGGCAAAATATTTAATTCATCACAGGATAAAGGAACAAACTAGTTATTTGTCAAATTATCTCTAAAAAAATATTAATCTACACCTAAGCCTAGAAAGGATATACCAATAGGGTTAATTCTCTTTTATTTTTAAAACTTTGCAAATTTAATTGTGTGAAAATGTCTGGGGGACAAATGATTTGTAAACACAAGAACCAAGGGACTTTAAACCTGGAAAGGACCTTGGAACTGATTAAGTCTATCCTCTATCCTTATTTTTCCTCAGAAATGGAGGTCCAGAATGGTCAAATGCTTGCCTAAGATCACACTACTTATTTGTAACAGAAACATGATGGAATCTTGGTTTCCAGTCCAGTGTACAGTCTACCATTCAAAATTAATTTTCTGTTAAGTACCAAAAAGATGAATTGCAATCTTTAAAATAGAATACAGAACTATGTATAGCTAAAGTTTAAAAAAAGTTTTATTAGATCCTTCTCTAATTTCATAATATGTAAGTTTGAGGAAATTATTTTAAAAGTTAATATTCAGAAGAGCAGAGACCCTATAAATTTTGAGTGTATATTTATAGTTAAATGATCTGTGAACTTTCATTTGGAAGTTCCTCCGAGAAAGCAAATTAAATCCACCCAATTCTGTTCTTTCTATTCTACTTTTGTCCAAGTCCTCCCATAAGCACACCCCAGAAGCTCTACCCAATGTACTAGAAGGCTTCGGTGTTTTCTCCTAACAAAATGAGGGCACCAGTGAAGCATTGTGGCTGTTCCCTTGTTCTCTTTCACCTTCACCATCACCCCAGCCCCTTTTCTTTCCCTATCACATATTTCCTTGATGACATCTTTATTCTTATTCTTCTTTGAAGTTTCTCATTTATTAAGTTATAGCCACCTCATTCCCATCATGTGCTTCTCCACTGCCTTCCATGATATTAACTTTTTTTTTCATCAGAGAATGTTGTGTTCCATGTCTCAGTCCCATGCAGTAACAAGAGTAGAATGTTGGTATTTAAAAGATAGGCCTTTCTTTGCATGGAAAGCTTGGAGTCATTAAAGGAGACTTTAGGAACAATGTTCTGAAGGCAATCCAGGCTTTTTTTTTCCTTCTCTTCAATTCCAAGTCCAACTAGTTTTCCACTAGTTCTGTCTGTTCTAGATGTATATGCTGATGAACAAGCTCTGTAGGTTTTCACCTGAGACATGGTAATTTTTTTCCTCAGCTCCTCATTTTCATTCTGTGTATGGATTTGTTTTTAAAATGTGTTTTTTTGTAAACAACAGATTGCAGGGTTTTCTTTTCTTACTACATCTGTCACTCCTTTTCATTTTACTGCAATATTGTTTCTTTTTTTCAAATTAGGGTTTTTTTCCCTTATTCCTCTATGAAAACAGTACCTTGTCTCTTCAATCAACTTAATTCAGTAATTTAATCTGTTTTGAGGCAACCTTCTTCCTACTGGCTCTCTTTCCCTCACATTCAAGCCTTCCCCTCCTTCTCAAGCCTCCCCGTCCCCCTTTCGTTACCCTTTTCCTTGGTTTTGGAGTTTTACTTAATGTGTTGGTTTCTTTTTATTATTTGCTTTTATCTATTTAATTCTTCCCCTCTTTTTTCCATCTCTGTTAGGTAGTCAAGTAAAATTCTCCTCCTTCTCCTCCCCTTCAACTTGTTTTGTTAGGTTTTAAAATTTCATTTTCTAAACCTTTTTGTAAAAAGGATTTATTTTCCTCATTCTCATTTCTGTCTATTCTAGACTTTCATTCTTTGATTCATGAACCTTATACTTAGTCCTTTTTTAGCATTTGTATTCCTCATGGAATTGAAGCCTCTAAGGTAACAATTCTGGGTTCCTTCTTCTAAACAGTTTCTATGTTATTACCTTGTAGATCTTGCCCCCTAGTCCATCTTTTTCTATTATGCCTCATTTTTAGAAACACTGATTCCTGCAAGTGATAGAAAGAAGATTGATCTTGGGGCTATATTCCCACCCTTTCTATTATTAATATCTTCTCTGTTACTTTATTTATGTTCAAGGGCTTTAATTGAGTTTTCATCCTCTTGAGATTGTAGGTAGTTTTCATATTTGTCTTTTAATATTCCCCTATTATTCACTTTCTGACTTCCTCTCCTTTGATGCTGCTCCCCTGGTAGTTGTACATCTAAGTTATCTCAGTGTCCTCCAACACGTCCAATTCATCTTTTAAAGGACTCCAATTTTCCCACGTCTTTTCCAACATTTCTCATTTGATAGGTGTAATGGGGTACCTCACAGTTGTTTTGATTTGTATTTCCCTAATCAATAGTGATTCAGAGCAATTTTCATAAAACTAGCTCTTAGTTTTACTTCTTAGCTCAATAGTTTTCTTAATTTCAATTTTATTAATCTCTCCTTTGGTTTTCAGTATTTCTAATTTGGTATTTAATTGGGGATTTAAATTTTTTTTTCTAGCTTTTTTAGTTGCATGCCCAATTCATTGATCTCCTCTTTCTCTATTTTATTCATGTAAGCATTTGGAGATATAAAACTTGCCCCAAGAATTCACTTTTGCTACATCCCATAAGTTTTGGGATGTTGTCTCATTATTGTCATTCTCTTGGATGAAGTTCTTGATTATGTCTAAGATTTGCTGTTTGACCCACTTATTCTTTAGGATTAGATCATTTAGTTTCCAATTAATTTTGAGTCTGTTTTTCCATGGCCTTTTATTACATGCAACTTTTATTGCATCTTGACCTGAAAAGGATGCATTTAATATTTCTGCCTTTCTGCACTAGGTTGTGAGGTTTTAATGCCCTAATACATGGTCAATTTTTGTGTGGGTGCCATGTACCACTGAGAAAAAGGTATATTCCTCTCTATCCCCCTCAATTATCTCCAGAGGTCTACCATATCTAACTTTTCTAAAACTTTATTCATCTTCTTAACTTCTTTCTTGTTTATTTTTTGTTTAGATTTACCTAGGTCTGAGAGGGGGAGGTTGAGGTCCCCCACTAGTATAGTTTTGTTGTCTATTTCTTCCTGTAACTCCCTGAACATCTCCTCTAAGAATCTGGATGCTATACCACTTGGTGCATATATGTTTAGTAATGATATTACTTTATTGTCTATGGTACCTTTAGCAGGTTGTAATTTCCTATGCATACATACATACATACATACAATCACATATGCATTTGCTTTGTCTGAGATGAGGATTACTACCCCTGTTTTTTTTTTTTTAACTTCAGTTGAAGCATAATATTTTCTGCTCCAACCTTTTACCTTTACTCTGTGTGTATCCCTCTGCTTCAAATGTGTTTCTTGTAGGATTATTGTTTTTAAGTCACTCTGCTATCTACTTCTGTTTTATGGGAGAGTTCATCCCATTCACATTCACAGTTATGATTACTATCTGTGTCTTTCTCTTCATCCTACTTCCCCCTGTTCATGCTTTTCTCTCTCCTTTCTCCCTTGCCCCCCTCACTACAGTTTCACTTTTGACTGCCACCTCCCTCAATCTGCCCTCCCTTCTGTCAGTCAATTTTTCTCCTTCCTTTTCCAAGCTACTGACTCTCTCTTGCACACCTGTCATTTCTTTTCCCAATTTTTCTTCTACCTCACTTATTTGACTTTTATAATCCTTCTTGAGCTCTTCCAAGCAGGCTTTTGGGCTTGAGACCAGTTCATATTCCCCTTTGAGGTTTGAGATGTGGGTATATTGATAATGTTGTCCTCTTCTGAATTTGTGTTTTGATCTTCCCTATCCCATAGAATCTATGATCATTGTTTGTTTCTGCTTTTTCCTCGTGATGTTTGCCTATTTAAAGTTGAGCTCTCCTTCTGGAGCACAGGGGGCACTGACCCAAGCTTCTTGTACTGGGGGCCAGGGACCTGGTCACTGGTCTTGTGTGCTGGGGCCTCAGGTGCCAGCAGCTGGAGGCTTGTAGGGGTTTGGCAGCTTACCTGGTGCTGAGCTGGGGTCAGCAACACTGAAGCTCTTGGGGTGGTGGGGAGGGTCTGGCCCCTGGAGGATGCCTGCTCACCCAGGTTTCTCCGACACACCGGAAGGTTTGGCTGCTAGAGGATGCCTGCCCGTCTGGAGTTGTGCTGAAGCACGGGGAGGATTGGCTGCTGGAGGATGCCTGCCCACTGGCGCACATGGTGGTTTTCCAAGCTGGAGTCTACTGGTTCTCCTGCCTGTGTCAAGGCACTCGGGGTCCTGGTGTTGGCGCTTGCCTGCTCCACCAACCTGGGGCTCAAGTTCTCCCACAGTTTGCTGAGGTGGAGCTCGCTGCTGGCTTGCCGAGATGCCTCCCATCCTATACTGCTCCCCTTCCATCAGAGTGAGAGGGACTTTTCCTGTTAATCCCCCAAGCTTCCCAGGTTAAAAGACTGCTGCACCCCGTCTTTCCTGCTGGCTCAGCTGGGTTTTTTCCTGGGGCTTCATTTTCTGGGTTTTTAGAATTCAATATAGGAGAGTGAGAGCAACTTACTGCTTACTCCACCATCTTAGCTCCTAGAAATCGAGCAAGTAGAAACTATTAACAGGAAGTTTTATGGAAAAATCTACTTAAACAAGTTCCTAGATTCAGATCTGATAGTAGGTAGGACAGTCCACTTTTCCTAAGGATCAAAATAGAAATCTCTGTCTTGAGTGGATACAATCTTATCATAGGACAGGGATTGGTAGAGCAGGAGACATAGTTAGACTCTGTGTAAGGAATGTATGAATTGTGTCTTTTTCTACTACATAAGAAAAGGAACTCTTAGGGTCAGAGAAAAAAAACTGCATAGGTACTAACCTTCTCTTTGATCAACTTGGAAGAGGTCATAGGAAACATCCACTCTCCCTAAAGGAGTTAAGGCTACCTTAGAGCTAAAGTACCATAGGAATTTTGATGCCAAAGAGCCCATAGGTTGAGAATAAATTTCCAAGGTGGGCTTTTGATGCTAATTTTAGAATTCAGAGTGATTATACATACATGCATGCATACATACATACATACATACAATCACATATGGATAAAAATAAAAGAATGGAAAGGATGCTCACAGTCTAAATAATATTCTATTTATATATAGTCTTCTAAAATACTAATAACAAGTATAACCCCTGTTCCAAAGTCCATTAGTATGAGATTCTCTCCTTACTGGTGTAGAGGAATGCCCTGTCCTGTATGAAGGATGGGGCAAATTTGGAGGGAGTAAGGGTGCTTCACTTTCTTTAGCCTTCTGTGGTCTTCAGACCTTGTCAAATGTCAAATGTTTCTGGAGCTTTTGACTTCCAGCTTCAAGATGGAAGATGGAAGATGGAAGAGGCTAACCCCATTTCAGCTTGCTTAAGGGGAAGACTTTGGGAAGGTATAAGAGGAATGGGCAGTCTGCATCATGTCCCTAACTCCAGCGTGCTACTCTAGGCACTTTGGGGAATTTCTCTTGGGTGAGAGCCAGGACCCTCCAGCTTCTCTCTTGGTTGATATGTATTCTCTTAGGTATACCTTTCTGATTTATGTTTTGCTACAGATTTAGATATATGGGTTTCTTTGCTATTCACTGTATGTGCTCACTGTGGACTTGGTATTTGGTGGGAAGAGAGTCAAGCCTTAGATAAAGAGCTCAGGGTCTTTTTTCTTCCCCAAAATGACAAAGTGATTAAATTGAACCTGATCATATTATATTAATAAAAGGATGTGTTCTGTGAAGTTTGGAGTCAGTCAAAGGGTTGCACTTGAGGACCTAGAGGGCCTTGAGGCTGCAGGTTCCTCACCCCTGCCCTAGACTAATAATAGTGAAGGGAGCAGATAGATATAATTCTAGCCCAGTACTCTCTCTGTCTGAGGAAAGCAGAGTGACCTCCAGCCCCAACCTCCTGTTTCCTCTCCTGGCAGGAATGAAAGTCTTATTTGGAGAAGGAAGGGGAAGGGGGGGAGAGGGAAGAGGAAGAAGAAGCTGGAGATGTTTATTCTGCCTCCCTTTGAGCCGCACAACTATAATCCCCATGCCACAGCCGGGGGAGACAATCCCTTGGCATACATGGATGGGCTCTCTCTATATGCCAGCTTCTCCCCTACCCAAGGAAACAAGATTTCCTTAATTTTGGAAATTTTTTTTTACTTTAACTAGTAAATTCATACTTTTAGGCTTGATTCTCTACTAAAGAATTGGGGCATAGATAATTTTAAATAAATGAAGAAAAGTCCTTAACAGGTTTCAATGTGATCCAGAGTATATAACACACTGCAAAAGAAAAGTATATATTGGGAACATACAAGTTTTAGGATAAATATGAAAAATTTGGGAAAAATTGGTGAGATTTATAGAACTTGATACAGAGAACATTTAAACTACAAACAATATGCACAATGACCACAATAATGAAAATGAAAATATTAAAAAATATGAGAACTGAGATTAAGTGCAATGACCAATCTTGTTTCTAAAGGAATGGTAGCTAAGTGGTAGATGAACCTATTCAGAATGTTGCAAATGAGGTCATTGTGATATTTTGCTTAACTGTTTTTCTTTGTAACAAGGTAGCATTCTATGAGTATTTGTGTAGGATGGTAATTGGGAAGTAAAAGGGTATAAAAAACAAAAGCACCAATTAAATATAAAAGAAACAATACACAAAAGTCCCATTAAGATAAAAATTATTAGCCATAGTTACATTTAAAAAGCTAATATTTGTGCTACTGTTATTAAATTTATGAAAATCCACAAAGCTTTGAGGAAAAAAATAGATAAAATAATGAAGTACATTTTGAGAACCATTACATTCATATCAATAAGAATTATTGAATTTTCTAATAGTGCTGGAGCTATCCAGTCTTTCCTATGATGATGATGATTATATGGTTATTATTATATTACATGGTTCTATGGAAATAACATAAAATTAGGGAATTTTAGTCTAGTTTGCACATCACATCACCATTTCTGAGCAAATCATTTACTGGAAACAAGATTTGAAGTATTGCAAAAAACTGCTATGTTAGATCAGCATTAAGATTTCTGGTATCATTATATCAATAGGAATGAAACTCATTGGAGGATTAATTACTATTATCTATATCTAGGTTTACCTGGTTAAATTGATGCCAGTTTTTAGCCTATCAAGATTGTTTGAACTCAGAAGATAATTGCTGAGCCTTCTAAAAATACCCAGTTTACAATAAGGATGTCATAAAAGTGGCAAAATGCATCATTTTGCTCAATGTAGCTAAGCTGAAAAATACAATTCTGTTAGGGAGCATCTTCAATATATTTTTAATCTACAGAATAAAAAAAATCATTCTCAGAAGAGCAAATCAACCAATCGGTAAGTGCTGTTTTTATACATAGTAAAACTTACAAATACTTTACCTTCATTGGTTGGTTGAAGTGTTGGCCATCCCTTAGAATAAGTAACAAGGTCGAAGACTTCCTTACAGTCATTCTGAGTAAATAAATAGCTCTTCTCTATGTCAATTTGAGAGGATGGATTTGAACTTGGAACAATTTCTTCAAAGTCATTACTATGAGGCACAATGTATGAAACTCTCTTCCTAAAAAAAAGATATTTAGTTATTTAAGCATGTTTTGCCTTAATATGCGCCATAAAATGCACGCTTATAGTATATAAATTGATAAAGAAATTTAACTATATAATATTACTATTGTCTTTACCTCAAATGATCAAATATTAAAGATATGAAATGGAATTAAAAGGCATCATATGACACAGACAATAAAATGCTGGGATCAGAAAGACTTGGGTTCAAATCATGTTTTAAATACTTACTACCTAGATGATTCTGGAAAAAGAAAAAAAGTACATTGAGTTTACTTAAATAAATATCAGATGGTGGCACCACCAAAAAAAAAAAAATACTTACTACCTGAGTAGCACTGTGCAAGTTAATTTATGGCTCTCACCCTTGTTTTTTTTAACTGTACAATGGTGTAATCATACCTGTTGAACTTATCAGATATGATTATTGTAAGAATCAAATGAAATAATGTAAAATTCTTTGCAAACTTTAAAACATTATACAATTGTTAGATTTAATTATTATTGTTTAATTGGAAGACTTAAAACTTCTTTCTTTAACGCTGTAGTTTATTTTGACCAAATTGTCCACCTACCACTACCTTCTCAACAACCACAATGTTTCATCTTCTTGGAAGCAAACAGCATTCCTTTAGGATAGAAAATCCTAGAGCCTGTTCATTCAAAGGTGCTTAACATTCAAATGCTCCTGAAAAAGTTCCAGCTTGGTGAAGAAATAGAATTTTTTAAAATGTCTTTCAGTCTCTTGTTTAATTAGTCCCTTCACTATATGAAAGTTGAATTCAAGCCAGTTTTGAACTCAGCACACATTTTTAAATTGTATTTTAAAATTTATTGTTTATTTATTTTTAGCATTAATTTAAAAAAACTTTTTGAGTTCCAAATTCTCTTCCTCCTTTCATCCTCTCCCCTACCCAATGAGAAGGCAAGCAAAATGATACTCACCATATATGTAAAGTCATGCAAAATATATTTCCATATTAGCCATGTTGAAAAAAAAATCAAGAAATGTCAAGTGAAAAAAGCTCCAAGGTGCAGAGTCCATCAGTTTTCTCTCGAGGGGAACAGCATTTTTCATTATAGATCCTTAGGAATTGTCTTGGATCATTGTATTGATTAGAGTAGCTAAGTCTTTCATAGTTGATCATAATCATAATATTGCTGCTACTATGAATTCATATATATCAAGTACTTAAGGTTGTTTACAAGAAAGGAAAAGGACTGACACTATGGTTTCATTGATGCAATTAACTCCCAAGTTTAGAAAACTCCCTTTACCAATTCAGACTGTCACTTTCACTGGGATTTAGTCATAAGAAAGTTGCCTAGAACAGTGGTATCAAATTCAAATACCACATATTGACTTAGAAAACCACAAATTGCCATTATCTATATTGTACTGTATTTCTATTTATTTTGTCAAACATTTCTCAATTACAGTTTTTTTGTTTTTTATTTTATTTATTTATTTTTTTTTGGTGAGGCAATTGGGGTTAAGTGACTTGTCCAAGGTCCCACAGGTAATATGTCAAGTGTTTGGTCTGAGGCCGGATTTGAACTCAGGTCCTCCTGACTTCAGGGCCGGTGCTCTATCCTCTCAATTACATTTTAATTGTATTTGCAGTTGCACCTGAGTTTTGCAGGTTTCGGGCAGAAAGTTTGACACTTCTGGGCCCTACAATATTGAGAGGTTAAGTGACTGGCTGGTTGTTATACAGTGAGTCAGAGGTCTGCAACTTAGATGTCACCCTGAATTCTACTCTCCCTTT